GGTGATTGCTTTTGATCTGTGATTGCTTGTCTGCAGGGTGTTTATGGAGATTATCAAAATAGTTATGGCTATACACCTTATGGGACATATTCCTCATCGGGTTCTGCTATGAGGCCTGATAATCCACTTTATGGTCCTCAGCATTTCCAGTATCCCACCTATTTCCAGCCTTCTGCTACAAGCAATGGGCATTTCACAGCCAACGGAGCTAACACTTCCCAAGCTGATGTTTCAGCTCCAGTTGCTACCGACACAGTGCAATTATCAACAGGAACAATGAAAGGGAACCAGAGTTCTGTTGGAAATGTTGTGAGCAACAGGGACAATGGGTCAAAGCCTTTAAGACCAAATTATCATACCCCATACATGAAGTCGACTGATTTTTACGGATGGGGAGGCTTGCTATCAGGTAGAAGAGGCCGCAGATTTCAGATTTGGCTTATATTGATCTTCGCTTTATTCAACAAATGTGCAATTTCTTATCAATTTTCTAACCTGAAGTTTGATCTTGCAGCAAGTTCAGGGAATTCTTCGGCCTTTTCATATGGCAATAATTTTTCTTCTGGAAGAAGTCAGAACCCACACCCTCTTCCACATCTCGTGGTATGTGTTCTTTGAGACACTTGATACCTTGGTATTCAGTGTTTTGTGGAGATATACTGAATGCTGGATCATTAAGCAACCAATGAGACTTTGCCTCCAGCTAAATTTTTTCTTTGAGATTGATTTTCAAATATTGATCTTGATCATGGTTTCTTAGTCTATGTTCCTGTGCCGTTTTTCAAGAACTATATGTCCCCAAGATGTGTTTGGATTGCTCTTTTAAAAGCACATGATGTAGCTGTCTTTCTTTTGCAAGCTTATGCTTGTTATTTCTTTTGTTTTCAACAGCTCGTGTCAGTCAGATTCGTGGAGTCGTTAAGCATGTCTTGGATATGATAGGAATTTTTGCTTTGCTAACAGGGCATGCAACACCCTCGAGCAGGATCAGGGATGGATCAATCTGGTTTCTCGGGTCGGATGTACCCAAATCATAGGATGTATGGCCAATATCCAAGCACATTTAGACGTGGTGCAGGATATGTTCCTAATGGCTTCGATGCAAGGATAAATGGCCGTGGTTGGTTTGCTGTTGATAACAAGTATAGGTCCAGGGTTCGTGGCAGTAATGTACTTGTTTATGGTAGTGAAAGTGTGGATGGCTTAAATGAACTGAATAAAGGACCTCGAGCAAAGGGCTTCAAGGATCAAAAGGACTCTGAAGCTATTACCTTGGCAGTGAAGGGGCAAAGCATCCCCGTAATGGGCAAGAGCGATGAGGATAACCTGCCTGTTTTTCCAGACAGGGAACAGTACAACAAAGATGATTTTCCTGAGACCTACTCAGATGCTAAGTTCTTTGTAATTAAATCGTACAGTGAGGATGATGTCCATAAAAGCATTAAATATGGCATGTGGGCAAGCACACCCAACGGAAACAAAAAGCTAGATGCTGCTTACAAGGAAGCCCAGGAGATATCTGGTGGATGTCCTTTATTCCTCTTGTTCTCTGTAAGATCTCATATTGGTATCCTTCCTTAAAAAAGTTGCACAAGATTTTTTTTTAAAGTGCCTCCAGTTCAGTACTAAGCTCTTGCTTGTGCATTTTTTTTTTCTCAGGTCAATGCAAGTGGGCAGTTTGTTGGTCTTGCTGAAATGGTGGGTCCTGTTGATTTTGACAAAAGTATGGAGTACTGGCAGCAGGACAAGTGGACTGGTTGCTTCCCTATTAAATGGCATATTATCAAAGATATACCAAACAGCACCTTGAGGCGTGTTACGCTAGAAAACAATGAGAATAAACCTGTAACAAACAGCAGGGATACTCAGGAGGTGAGATTTTGACGTCCTATGCTGTTGATTTTTTTTTTTTTCAACGTCCTCTGTTGGTTCTGATTTTTCCTCCCTGGGTTTCTCGCTGCTGCAGGTTAAATTTGAGCAGGGTATTGAAATACTTAAAATAATAAAAGGTCATTCAAGCAGGACGTGCATTTTAGACGATTTTGAGTTTTATGAAGGGCGTCAAAAGGCCATGCAAGAGAAGAAGGCCAAGCAGAAGCAGTTCTATAAGCAGGCAAGTTAACACACATGATGTATTTTATTACATGTCCTTTATTTTGCTGGTCTTGGCAAGTGGTACCATTCAGCTGTCCTCGGCGACTTCTGAGATTATCCTGCTCGTATAGCAGTGTTTTTGGCAGTTGACGTGGTATGTTCTGTCCATGTTGTCATTGGCTAATTGTGGCTGGCATATCTTTCTGAAATAGGTTGGTGATGCGGTGGTGTCAAATGGCACAGAAAAGGATGGGTTGGTAAGTAAACAGGGATCACAAAGATCTGTCGAAGTAGGTGTAGCCTTGGCCAAGGACTCAGCTGCTCCAAAGGCTACTGTTCCTGGGGTTATCGAAACTAGCCCGGATCTCAAGTTTTTGAAAGATAACGGTGCAGTTGCAGCCAATAGCTGAGGACGCCTTGGAACGGCTTTCATGTGGACTCTTAAAAGGAAAATAAAGCTGTTTCAAATGGAGTTTGAGTTTCTAATAGTGGCATTTATTTTTATTTTTTTAAATTTATGACTCTGATTTAGTATTATAGTTGGTTGAGCTTTTGGAATTTGGCAAGATTAGCTACCGCAGTGAATTCTTCTTCTGTGTTTCAGCCCTTGTTTTCTTCTCTTTTCCTTTTCCTTTTCCTTTTTAATGTATTTGTTTTCCCTTTGGTGAGTGGAAGTGATATATGTAGAAGGAGAAAGGTTGTAGTGTAGTGCACCGAAGACATATTGCAATTACCTTTTCAGTCTCTGAGTTGACTTTTAGATTTGCGCATTTTTTCTTTGTCCCGTTCGCATATATACATATATATATTTTAGCTTTTAATGTCCTTTGAAGGGATAATATAATATGTTAAAGCTTCAGCATCTTCTTTTGCTTTTTTATTTTTTTTATTTTTTTTATTTTTTTGAGTTTAACTTGTTTGGGGTTTGGGTCAGTCTTTTTCTCATTGGCAATAATGTGTACTGGCCTCTTCTTCCTTCGCTGTTACTACTATTAAGCGGTACGGTGGTGTTCTTATGTCTCATGGCCATGGCCTGTTGCAATGTGTTATGGTATGGTGGTGTTCTCAGGAATCAAATATGCTAAAGAAAGTACTACTACTGGTACTGTATCCGTCTTCTAATTTGCGAAATCCAAAATGTGGTGCGTGGTTTTATGATTCTTTCATATTTGTTTGAAAAAAAATTGAAAAGTTAGAAAAACAAAAGTGAGGAAAAATGACTTCTGGCGAGAAATTATCAGATGATGCTGACACTTTTGTCTAGACGGATGAAAAAGAAACGAAAGGAAAAGATTTGGAGAGAGAGAGATGGAGCTGAAATTATTATTATTGTCTCCTGTTTGGGATTTTAAGTCAAACAAACTCAAAAATGTCTTTTACATTTCATTCCCTTCCCTTCCCTTCATTCTCACAAGTGGGAAAAAAAGTCTATTGTGTTAACTGGATTGCATTTTTTAGAATTTTTTGTAGAAAAATTACCGTAGCGATTTGATGTATGTGAAGAAAAAAAGTAATAGGAAAATGTGATCACGGAAAACAACGCAATTTTTCGGCGAAAAATGACTGTCCAAACAAGGCTTGCTCGTCAGCAAAACCTGTAAATATAAGAGGCCGCTTGGTACAAGGGTATGGGAATCAAGAATTGGAATCCCCACCATATTTGTTGCTTGTTAAAGAGGTATGGGTATTAAAAAATTCAAATGAAATCTAAAAATCTGGTCACTCTCAATTCCCGACTGGATTGGGAGGTTTTGGTTGATTACCAAACCTGACTCCTAAATGAAATATAAAAATCTAAAAATAAATAGGAATCTTCTCTCCTTCAAATCTGGTCTCTTCTCATACTTCTATCTCCACCACTTTGCATCTTCACCGGACATTCTCCTCTCTCTCCCTCACCATTCCTGTGTAAAAACACACCTTCTTACTTCTCACCCCAAAACCAAATTTTGCTACTTTTTATGGTTTAATAAACCTACAATGAAGTTCTTTAAAAACCTAACTATTAGCAAAATTTCCATCTAGAAACAGTAGTCGGTGATGATGAGATTTATGTGTGATTTTGGCAGTAAAAGATACCCAGAACCAAAGAAGATGATGAAGTTTGTAGTTTAAATTCAGATCTATCTTAGATTGGAAAAGTTTGGAAATCTTGAGGCTAAATATAATAATTGTAAGAGCTCCAAGGTAGCAATTAATTGTGATTCTATCTTGCATTCGCCAACGGTGGTGGTTCAAGGAAGAGCTGCTGTCAATTGGCCGCCAACGTTGGCGGTATGTGCAACGAGGAAGAAATAGAAAGAAAATATTTTATCCTGATACCTAAACCTAAAATTTTTTACCAAGCAATATATATTGGAATGATGGCATAGGGCCATACCCATACTAATTATTTATATATGATACCAATTCCAATTACAATTGCGGTTCACGAACCAAGCGCCCCCTAAGTAAATGTGTAAAAGGAGAAGTTTCTCAATCTAGCAAGCTACTAATATTTGATTCTTGGTTATTTTCTCAAGATTCCCAAGAAAGAAAGTTCTAATCATTTCTCTTGTCTGCTTTTATCTATCTGTGTATTTTTTTTTCAATTTATTTATTTTGTTTTCGAAGATTTCCTCTCGTTTGTATAATTTTTCTGATAAAAGTCAAAATTTAGGGCATAATTAAAGAATTCAATCGAATTTTAAATTACAAGCACACCTTCTCTTCCTCTCCACCTTCACCCAACAAAAGAAATTCCCGTTTGAATTGCTATTTTTAGATTTCTTTTTTTTCAGAAAAATATACTATAATAATTTAATGTATTTGAAATAAAAATAATTAAAAAGTATAAAAAATTATTTTACAAAAAATCACAATCCAAACACGGACACAAAATTTTCGAACCTATGCCAAATCATCAGACTAGACGAGTATATGTCCACCACGGACGGAATTAGTACCGGTAGCATGTAGGTAATAAATGGCTGCTGGGGGCTTCCACTCTTCCAACCAAATGGCAGGAGGAGGAGGAGGAGGAGAAGTAGAAGAAAGAAGCAGCAACCACAGAGGAGCCGGAGCCGGAGCCGGAGCCGGAGGAGGAGGAGAAAGCAGAGTCCCAGAAATCCGGAAAGACAGCGTACAGAATCGGTGGGTTATATTCTCCCCCGCAAGATCACGTCGCCCTTCTGACTTCAAGTCCAAATCTAGTACTAGCAGTGGCAATCCACCCGACCCACATTCCCAAAATTGCCCATTTTGCCTGGGCAATGAGCACCTCTGCGCACCCGAGATCTTCCGGGTCCACCCCTCCCATTCCGCCCATTGGAAACTCCGGGTCATCCAGAATCTCTACCCTGCTCTCTCCAGGGACAACTTGCCTGTGCAACCAGAGCAGGTTGATGATGAATCAAGCTCCAAAACCTCCTCCTCCTCCTCTAAGATTGGGAATAACAAAGTTGCTGGGTTCGGGTTTCACGACGTGGTAATCGAGGCCCCCTTTCACTCTCTTCAATTGCTTGATCTTTCTCCCGCTGAGATCGGGGATGTTTTGCTTGCTTATAAGAAGAGGATCCTCCAGCTTCGCTCTTACCATTCCATTCAATACGTTCAGGTTTCACTCTCCTCTTTTGCTTCTTCTACTAGTACTCTCTTCTTTCTTGGGCATATGTTCTTTACCAGTGTTTCTTGTAACTAGTTCCTTTTTTTTTTAATACCTTTTGGTTAAGGATGTGTCAATCAGTGAAAGGTTGAAATTTTCTTTGTTTCATTTTAATAAGTGATACTAGTTTAATCTTTCTTTTTGGATTTTGATTTTGTTGCTCTCTGCTTTTGGTATCAAATGTAATCAAGACGTTTTTTTCCCCATCCCTTTAGGATTTATGAAATGCTAGACTGTATTTTTTCCCCAAAATCTAAAAGCAACCTGTTAGTAACTTAATATATCCCCTACCTTGTGTTGGGCTGAATTGTGGGCTGTTGTTGATCTGCATGTGTTCACAATGACGAATGAGATTGAGCTTATAGATGAGCTCCAAGCTCAGTAGAAATATAAATTGGAAAAAAAAAAAAAAATCTTTGTAGCCGCTAATTGAGTCAGTGTACCAGTTCTAAGACTTTTAGCAACCCTATGCTGATATCCAAGAAGGTTATCTCACAACCCTGACGAAATTTTGTAACCGCCTTGCATTTGCGCAAGTTATTTCCACAAATCTTTTTCTTTCATGTATGGACTTCATTTATTTGCTGGTTTCATTCTTGAAATTCCCGGATGGACCTGAGTTCAATTTGTAGCGAAGCCCATAAACATGCATAGCTACTGGTTTTGATCTTTCCCTGGCCTTTTCCAATTCACCCCCGGGTGTTGATAGTAGGTCAGGTGAGCACGAATGAGTTTTCAGTGCTGCATTTGCTAGTGTTTAAATCGTTATCCCACTTCTCAGTGAATACTTATGGTATGGTTCCAGCCATACACAAAGTCTATCTGATTGATCTTTCCTCTCATTTGTCTGCTCCTCTTTTGGTGAATCTCTGTCTGTAGCACGTTTAACTTTTGTTCACATCGTGATTTAATAGGTGTTCAAAAATCATGGTGCCTCAGCTGGTGCCTCATTGAGTCACTCTCATAGTCAGATTATTGCTCTTCCAGTTGTCCCCACAGCAGTTTCTGCTCGTATTGACTGTATGAAGCAATATTTTGAGCAGACAGGGAAGTGTAACCTCTGTGAGGTTCGAGTGGATGACTTGCTAATTGATGAATCAGCCCATTTCATATCAATTGTTCCTTTTGCTGCTACTTTTCCTTTTGAGATATGGATCATTCCTCGAGACCACTCTTCTCATTTTCATGAAGTGGACAATGAGAAGGTAATCTTTGCCTTGCTTAAGCCTTCATTAACATAACTATCAGAAAAGCAAAAAGAAAAGGGGGGAGGGGGGAGGGGAAACAGACTGCAAGCAGCTTAACTGAGCAAATTGACTGTACTTGGTCAATGTAACTTGGCATAGTTATGCTGAGTATATAGCTAAAGGCAAGGACTTCTTTAAATTGGGCTTGCAAACTTCTTAGGTACATACCTGGGAAAAGTATAGCTGATAAATTCAACTTGGGAAGAAAAGCGGAGGGGGAATTGTACCTTAATGTTTGCTATATGTATTTTTTCCTTGTGTGTGCGTGTGTGTGTGTTGAGGGGGTTGTGGGCTTCTTTTGTCTTGTATAACATGTCCAATTTTCACTCTGCACTAGCTATTGTTTCTCGTTTTCACTTGCAGGCAGTTGATCTCGGAGGATTATTGAAACTCTTGCTAAGGAAGATCTCCTCGCAGCTGAATGATCCACCTTACAATATGATGATTCACACTACTCCATTCCACATAAATCCCTCATGTTTAACCTACACGCACTGGTTTCTTCAAATTGTACCCCAGTTAACAATAGTAGGAGGGTTTGAAGTAGGAACAGGATGCCACATAAATCCAATTTTCCCTGAGGATGCAGCAAAAGTGCTAAGGGAAGTACAACTTTGAAGTTAATCATCGGAAGTTTCGAGTAGTATATTGGGGATGCGGATGCAGCACTTTCACTGAGAAACAAGCATGTATAGAGCGTTAACAACATAATCTTGCTACTATTTTTGAGTGCCATTTGGTGCTCAGAGTTGGTATGTTAGAGATGCATTTGATTTAGGGTAGGAAAAACAACTCAATGCCTGATAATGCATGCAGCATGGTTTTTGCTGCTTTGGATTTTTTCACTTTGGAGCGATTTGGATCTGCTCGTTTTTCTCTACATTTGTTTATGCACATAAGCTGGACTCTCTTTTGTGAGTCTCTTTTAGAGCGAGTTGGGTTGGATTGTGTGCTTGTTGTTTAGTTAGAAAAGTGGTCGAAAATGTTACACTCTGAATATATGAGGAACTATTTTACTCTATTTCGGAGCATACGAGGGATCATTTATTTCAATTTGGATCAAAATGAAGGAAAATCCCCCTTCATGGAACCATTTCCTCACATTGTAGGATGGATAACCTTTTTCTATGCGGTTAATGTAAAGATTTTTTTTTTTTTTTTTTGTAAATATAAACAAGTTTAGATTATGTTACATAATATGAATTCAAATCTCGTATCCGTGACATACATTCAAAACTGTTAGTGTAAAAAAAAAATCACCACACCGTCAGCGTATAAAAAGTTAATCCTTGTGAAATAGTTAATAGTCATCCATATTTCAACTAATAATTCAAACTATTAGTACAATTCAAGGGTGAAAAAAAAAACTCTCATCTCACTATTTTAACTGTGAATTTAACTTCATGGGATAATAATAATATTCAAGGAGGATAGTAGAGAATCTCTCAAAAATGAAATATATATTTTATTTGTCCGCCAGCGCCAGCCAGAAACTAGGGTAGAACATTTATTTATTTTTTCTTGGGGATAAAAATCGTCATTATATCCTAACTAAACTAGTAGTAGGACTTAATAGGGAAGACGGTGTAGACGGTGGAGAATGACAAATTTAACCTTGGAGAACGGGTTCTTGATTTCAAAGCGAATCGGGTTCATGAAATAGTAGCAGTAGAAAGGGTGGTGGGTAAGTGGTCTGAGACGCTTCCACAGCTTCTAGGGCTTTCTCATTTGGATTTCCCTCTTCTTTTCTTCTCGTGTTGTTTGTATTGGAGCTACTACTACTGCTGCTGCTGCTAAGTATCACCAGTCTCTTTCCCTTGCCTGAGGAGGAGGAAGACGAGGACGCTTCTTCTTTAGGGTGGTCTTTTGATATTGTTCGATTTGACCCCTCAAAAAAAAAAGAAAAGAAAGGAAGAAAGAAAGATGGTGGGAATGGGGATGCCGGCGTATGGAATTCAGTCAATGCTGAAGGAAGGGCACAAGCATCTATCCGGGTTGGACGAAGCGGTGCTCAAGAACATCGACGCCTGCAAACAGCTTTCCCAAATCACCCGCACTTCCCTCGGCCCCAACGGTACTCTCTCTCTCTCTACCCCCTTCTTCTTTACTCTTCTCCCTCTCCCCCGATTTTGCAGCATCAAATCTATGTGCTGCTGTCACTCACATTTGTAACCTGTATGTCTCAGTTGTAAACTATTGCTCCTGCTTTTAGTTCTAGGGTTTTTCAAGTCACTTTTGCCCTTTCCTAGTATTATTTTTTTTTTCAAAAAAAAGGAGGGATCTTTGCGTTAGGAATTATTTACCAAGGAAATTCTTGTATAATGCATTTGGGATCTGTGGACGCGTTTCCAATCTCTCTCTCTCTCTCTTCAGGTATGAATAAGATGGTTATCAACCATCTCGACAAGCTTTTCGTCACCAATGATGCTGCCACCATCGTCAACGAGCTCGAGGTTCAGCATCCTGCGGCTAAGATCTTGGTTCTGGCTGGCAAGGCACAACAAGAGGAAATTGGTGACGGTGCTAACTTGTGCGTCTCTTTTGCTGGGGAGCTTCTCCAAAATGCTGAGGAGCTCATCCGAATGGGTCTGCACCCCAGTGAGATCATCATTGGTTACGCTAAGGCCATTAATAAGGTTTCCATCATCCCCTGCAGCCTTTTTCGTTTTTATCTCTTTACTGTTTCCACCACTTCCTCTTTTCTTTTTCTTTTTTCCAATTGGCTGAGCAATTTTTTTTTATTGGTTACCGTTCTGTTTCAGACAATCCAAGTTTTAGAGGAATTGGTTGAAGCAGGTTCTGACACCATGGATGTCAGAGATACCAATCAAGTTATTTCTCGCATGAAAGCTGCTGTTGCTAGCAAACAGTTTGGTCTAGAGGATATATTATGCTGCCTTATTGCTCAGGTAAATATTGCTAACTTTGCTGTTGTTGGTGTCTCAGTTGGGATTCTTCCCTTGTCCTGAGTTATGGTGTATTTGCAACACAGGCATGCATCCAAGTTTGCCCAAAGAACCCAGCGAACTTTAATGTGGACAATGTCAGAGTCACAAAGCTCTTGGGTGGAGGTCTGCATGATAGTAAAATAGTCCGAGGTATGGTATTGAAAAGTGATGCTGTTGGAAGTATAAAGAGGATCGAAAAGGCAAAGGTAGACACTCATAAGCATGCATCTGGTTGTTTGTATGCTATTAACTAGTCAACGGCTGTGCTTTGAAACACTTCAGTATGTTTCTTGTGCCAATTCAAATCAATGTAGCACATTATGAGGCTGAAAGAGTAACATGCCATCCCTTTTCTCCTCTGTATCTTGTATGCTTATGCATAAAAGGACATCATTTTTTGGTCTGAATCTTTTTCCAATTTTTTAAAGATCTCCCTCAATAAAGTAGGGTTCTAATGCCTACTAATTTTTCAGTCCTGGAAATATGCTATTTTTATTTTTTGAATTCTACATTTGTATTACCACTTGTTGATTAAAACGGAAGTAGTCTCACGTGCTTAATGCCTCTTCTAAACGAGTTTAATCAAATTCTTCAAAAGATGTGTCGGCTGTGTTCAGTTATTCGGTCTGGTCTGGGTGGCACCTGTTCTCTAATCATCTGTTAAAACTTTTAGAATTTCTGGTCGTGTTTGTTTTAAAGAGGTTTCAAGTCATGGCAAAATTGTTTTATTCTTTTCCTGATAAAAGTTAGGAAGGACGGTACTCTTGCTGATTTACCTTATGATTGATATTCATTCTTTATCAGGAGAATTAAGACTTTGTAATCATTCTTGCAGGTTGCTGTTTTTGCTGGAGGTGTTGATACATCAGCCACAGAAACAAAAGGAACTGTCTTAATCCATAGTGCTGAACAGGTATTAAGGGGAGCGTCTAGTCCTTTAGATCCTCATTCATAAAGACGTGAACTAGTTTTTTCGAAGTCCAAACCTCTTTGCACATGGTATTTATAGTCTCAAGTAAAGCAGTGAATAAACTTCTTCTAGTGTTCATCTATTTTGTTTGCTTTCGTGGAATTCTGGAGCATCTAGTAACCTGTTCTGTGTTAATATCCTCTCATCTCAGAGTTTGGTAATTTTTAATCTGTTAATCTCTTCTGCTTTTGCAGCTCGAAAATTATGCAAGGACTGAAGAAGCTAAGGTTGAGCAACTCATCAAAGCAGTTGCAGAATCTGGTGCGAAGGTTATTGTTAGTGGAGCAGCTGTTGGAGAGATGGCACTACATTTTTGTGAGCGTTACAAGTACAACCATTTTCTCTACCTGTTACTTTAACTTTAATTTTTGTGCCTTTATTTCTACAGAGAAATGAGAAGTCAAGTGCTTTTTCATTTCTGCTAACCTAGCCTATTGAAAGAATGGTTCGTTTCTCCTAATACAATGAGAGTCCTAGTTTGCCTTTGTATCTCTGTATGAGGTTGCTGTACAGTAACAGATAGGTATGAATATCATATCCTGATGGGAATGAAAGGTAGGGCAACAAAATATTGGCACATTCTGCACTATAGACTACTGAAAGGTCGTGTGTATTGGTCACTCGTTTTGACAACTTTTCATCTGCTTGAATATCTTGGGAAACTTGTATAGGCGATTCATCAGCTTGAAATGTAGATTACTCTCCTTTAGCTTTGTGTCATTTTGCTCCATTTTGCATCCCCTTTCTCACCTTGGATATAGTGGGAAAATTTCCTTTATTAAGTGTATTTATACATGAGAAGATATGTAAAATCTGCTTGTCCTGAACTTTTTTCCTTATCTCTTTTGTATTCAATTTTTTCTTTTTTGTTGTTTTTCGGGGGAGGGGGTGTTGGTGGGGCGGTAATTATAGTTGGAGTCTTGGACGATTTTGCATTTGCCTTGACTTGGATCTTGAATTGCTATCGTTATGGTTCATCTTTTCCTATGCCATGCATATTACTTGTTGTCTGTTTGCCTAACAACCTATATATGTTGAACAACTGATTACCCAGTACATATCCTTTGCAGGCTCATGGTCCTAAAGATTAGCTCCAAATTTGAGCTTCGACGGTTTTGCCGTACCACTGGTGCTGTTGCTCTTGTAAGCATCTTGCAGTCAGAGAGTATTAAGTTGTGAAACTTCGTTGTATTCCTTCTGATTTTTGTTTTTTTTGGCGATACAGTTGAAACTTAGTCCGCCAAATCCAGATGATCTTGGATATGTTGATTCCATTTCAGTGGAGGAAATTGGTGGTGTTAGAGTATGATAAGACTGCCCATAGTGCTGTTACTCTTCAATTTGTAGTTGTTTCAACTGCTTGGATATGATTTTTATGAATGATGATTAGGTTACAATTGCAAGAAATGAAGAAGGTGGAAATTCTGTATCCACAGTTGTTCTGCGAGGTAGCACTGATAGTATATTAGATGATCTTGAGAGAGCGGTCGATGATGGAGTTAATACTTACAAGGTACCCTTTCTTGAATATAGCAGATATACATTTGGAATGATGGGTTTTCTTCTGAATGCCTTTGCAAGTTGTTAACTATTTGCTTCTTGGTGATTTGCAAGTTTTTACTTGCAGTTAGGATCTAATAGACTTTGCTGTTTCCATCCATACCAGGCAATGTGCAGGGATAGTCGGATAGTACCTGGTGCTGCAGCTACTGAGATTGAATTAGCCATAAGACTAAAGGAGTTTTCTCTCAAAGAAACTGGGTAATGCACTTCCTTACCTTGCACTGAAGAATGTTTTATTTTAGGTTAAGGCAGCTGTGCTGAAGTGCAAGCTATATACATGTTCTTCACAAGCTTTAGCAAATATTCTATCCATTTTGCACATGTATTTATTTAGTTCTTGTTTTGAAAAGTTGATGTGCATCTGCTTTGTGGCTTCTTTTTGTCCTACCAGAAGGTAACATACATCTTCAACCTTGTCCTACCAAAAGTAACATACATCTTCAACCTTGTTTTGCATATTCTTTCTGCTATATATGTTTGTTTGATTATTTGCATGGGATAAGGTAAACTTGAGTAAATTATTGGACCTGCCATTTTTTGCCTTGATTGCTGAATGATCTGCTTGAAAAGTTAGTGTTCTCCCTGTATATGATTGAACAGTGTGGTTGAAATCTGAGTTAGAGGACCATTTTATTCACATTAACTTAATGACAAGTGTTGCAATCTATTTCTAAAGTGTTTTTGTTGAATGTTTGTGCGAATATGTACTGGTTTCTCATATCCAATGGCATACTGTTAGTTGTCTATTGTTGTCTTGATTTTCTTACCAATTAGTAAACTGAAGCGTGGGTGCTTTGTTTAGTTGAGGCTTAGATTTTTCTATTGCCATGCAGCTTAGATCAGTATGCAATTTCCAAATTTGCTGAAAGTTTTGAAATGGTACCTAAAACCCTGGCTGAGAATGCTGGGCTTAATGCTATGGAGATTATATCATCGTTGTATGCCGAACATGCATCTGGGAACGCAAGAGTTGGCATCGATTTGGAAGAAGGCACGTGCAAAGATGTCTCCACGAACAGCATATGGGACCTATATATCACAAAGTAAGCTTTTTCCTTATATTGCTGAAATCCACATTCAAATTTTTTCTAGTGTAGAAGTTTCAACTTTGAAGATTGAGAGCAAAATTTTGAAGAATGAGAGCAAACTGTTGTTTTTATGTCAGTCCTGGAGTAAGCATTAAACCCTGCTCGTGAAGGTTGTGCAGAAGATTGTTTAGCACTTTCTAGTGATCTCATTTGTATATATCATGCATGTTAAAGGCTACCAACTAACTAAATCTTGCTTCTGTGGAACAATGTAAACAAAAGCTCAATAGGGATCCTTAGTTCTGTCGACCTTGGTTTTTGGATCCTCAAAACCTAATCAAAAGATCCAAGCAACTCAGCTGTGCATGAGCTTGTGAACACTCACATGCTTGCCTGCTTGGGCTTTTTTAACCACCCATGAAGGAGATCTTTTTTTGTTTAGTTTCCCTGAGATTGATGCATTCTGGAATATTCTTTTGTAACTCAAGCTATTCTGGAATATGGAATTTAATGAAGTGTCAGAAGGCTCTTAACTAGGAATTTGGTTCAATTGACAGGTTTTTTGCTCTCAAATTTGCTGCTGATGCTGTCTGTACTGTCCTGCGTGTAGACCAGGTAAGGCATTCTTGGCATCTTTACTTTTCTTCTTCATAATGTGGTTATCATGATACTGGTGGTAAATTACCTATTTCTGTGGTTTATGCTGCATTTAGTCGACCTTTTTGGACGTGAAAGAATTTCACTTGATGGTGTGATAGTTATACAAGAATTAAGTAGTTTATGGAGCGGATATGCAGAAGTAGTCTACCAGATGGCCTGGTGGTTGGTGTGTAGGTGATGACCGTGGGTTTAGGTATAGGTTTTTCAGTTCATCAAGTTATTCTGTGGGTTGTGTGATAGTCTTTTGAATGTGCTGCCTAGAAGTTTCCCTTGTTGAGGCTAAATAACCAGGTGGAATAGCCCAATGCTGTCAAGCATGATGGCACTTGTTGGTTTATAATGTTGAAACTTTGGTCCTTGGGTGTTGTATTTACGCGTATAGGTTCTGGGTGGTTGAGATATAGATGACGTTTGCAGACTTCCCAATGCAGAGATGTCAATCTCCCAAGTCATGGATCATGACAGGATTTCTTGGGCATGCAAAAAAGCTCATACTATATCCTCTCACTAGTTTCAAAAGAAGGCTTGGGTTAACCACAATATTGAAGCATAGTTGGAGATTCTTGTAGTAATTTTGCTCAGTTTGGGACACTAAGGTCCCATAAAGAGGGTCTAAAAGGTGCTGCTGTTGTAAATAATTGTGGATACCTCTGCTATAAATTTGATCATAGATCTTGTCTGACTTTAGTAGGTGCAGTGCAAATATTTTCAGTTGCTTTTACTCACAGAGTGATGGAAATGGTTCTTCATGTTTTCGCGTTAAGAAGTTTTCCTCATCTTTTACAAGATTTGTGATTGTGTGTCATCACCTATTGGTTTTCCGATGCAGATTATAATGGCAAAACCAGCTGGTGGTCCAAAAAGAGATGCTCCTGCAGGGATGGATGAAGATTGAGTGTTCAATATGAATGTAGCGTCTGATTTAGATTTTGCTTGGTAGTGTTCTGGGCCTCTTGTGGGTCAAAGGGTTTTCATCAGAGAAGGCGGAGAATAGTTGAATGTTAGCGTGTTGTTTCCTACTTTCATACCAATTACTAGGACGGACGTGGTCGAAGAAAAATTTTGGGTGTTTTTGACTCTGATTGTATATGCCACTAGAAGTGCATTTGTGGCTTGGTTCGTGTTTAGCGTTTTCCATTTTTAGTTATCATATTACAGTGGAAGTACACAATCCATGGTGAATTGGGCGTTTTATACCTATTGTGATGTGAAGAGCCCGGCATCAAATTCTACATTGGAAGCTTTGAATTCTTGTTTATCGGAGTGTCAGATTATATTCTTCGCTGGAAATATTTGGAAATGTTAATAAAAAAAGCTTTTCTTCATGGGCCCAACAAGGCAACAACGTCGAGTGCTTGCGATGGAAAGCAAATGATTATATGCTCCTCATTTTTTCTGTCAAATGACGTATGAAGGTTTTTGTGAAATGGGCGTTTGGTTTTGATTTCTCAGTTTTTTTTTATTTTAAAAAAAAAAAGAAAAAAACAAATACTATACTGTATTTGCAAGCAATAATCTGCTCTGAGCTCTTTAGCTAGTAGCAATACGTATGTGAGTAAAAGAGGTAAAAGCTGGGAAGTGTGGGAACCAGATTACCGTCAAAAGTTTTCTGGGGTGAGAGCCAGGTTATAGAAGATTGGCTTGGCCAGTGGACGGTGGTGGTTCAAGAAACAAACTGCTTAGTGCTTAGCTTTCATTCAATCATGGCTTCTATTCTATCCTTTCCTCTCCCAAAACCAAGCTCAGCTACTGTTATACCTAAAGCTTCTTCTGTTCCAATCACGTCGTCTCCTCCTCCTGCAGAGACTCTGGACCAGAGGTTTGGTCGCAAAGGCATTAAATTCTTGGAGTCCGCAGGAGATGTTCCGACGGTTGAGCTGACTGTGAGAAATGGCAGCTCAGTAAAAGTTCAAATACCCAGTGGTCATGTCACTTCTTATAAGCCTAAAGTTTACTGGAAAGATGATGGCTTTGAGGAAGTCCTCTACACTCTTCCAGCAAATGGGCATTCTTTCAGTTCCCCTGCTCCTCCTCCTTCCAGAGGTGGTATTGGTTTGGCATTCAATGACCTTTCCGACCCAAATTCAAAAGGGTCTCTTCTCAAAACTTCTGAATGGACCGTAAAAGATGTTGACTCTGATTCTATTGATGCTGTGCAGGTACTTTCTCATCCTCCTCCATTATGACTTGCGAGTAGGAACCAGTCATTCATTTTGCTCATTTCTTTTTGCCAATATAGTTTTGCTTGCTCTGCTAAGTGCTAACTGCTTTTCTCTTCTCTTCTTGAGAAGAAATATAACTACTGGGGTTGCACAGTTGCACCCATGTAATGGCAGCTTTTGTTGCTCCAAAATAATTTATAGGGGCCTTTTGACATGGATTCACTACAGTACTGAATTCGTTTTTTCCACCTTGGACAAACTCTGTGTGTGTTTGGCTGCAGGTTGAACTGTGTAGCACCAGTGGAAGTCTGGAATTAACTTACGTAGTTTCACTCTATCCCTTGTGCGTGGCAACCGCAGTTATTGTGAAGAACAATGGCCGTAAAGCTGTCAACCTGGCTGGCGCCATTCTTACGCATTTCAGGATGAAGGGACGAAGTGGAGCAGGTGTGCGAGGCCTCAAGACCTGCTCTTACTGCACCCTCCCTCCTTTATCTTCGCACTATGAGATTCTATCTCCATCTGAAGCTGTTAAAACCGAGGATCCTGGCTTCTTCTCTTTTGGCTGGGAGGCCGAAAAGAAACCAGGAGAATGGAGTGTGCAAGGCGTTCCCTTCACAGTACTGAAGCATAAGCTCAGTAGAGTTTATGCTGCTCCACCAGCTGATAGATTGAAAGAGTTCTACAATACCACACCTTCAAAATATGAGGTACTTGATCAGGTAATGCCTCAGCATTCGACTAGCATTATCCCGTGTACTTTGGACTATACAAAGTCAATGGTGTTGATGATAATTCCCTCTTAACTATCTCCCATATTATCATTTCTATAGATGCAGTTGAATATTTATAACCTGCTTCATTTTTCTAATGAATTCTGTCCCTTGTTGGTTCTTTTCTTTCCAGGGCCGAGAGCTCTTCTTTAGGTTTATACGAATGGGTTTTGAAGATATATATTTGTCCAGCCCTGGTTCTGTCTCTCGGAAGTATGGGAAGGATTACTTTATATGTACGGGCCCTGCTTCAATGCTGGTTCCGATCGTCATCAACCCTGGTGAGGAGTGGAGGGGGGCACAAGTCATCGAGCACGATAATTTGTAAAAACCATCAATTTAACAGACAGCACCAATTGATTTTCGCCCTTGAGTTTGTTCTGAGATGTGCAGATATTGAAATATGTACATTGTAGCATCAATCTATTTCATGAATCGTGATAATTGAGCAGTTCTTGGATAACAACTTAGCGGGACAATTCATATATTCTGTAGGAAATCCATCAATCAAGAATGACAGCAGGAGCAGCTGCATATGCAGATGTGAGACAGAACTTTTCATCATTTTTCACCATTTTTGACGTGGTAGTAAATGGATTAATCAGAACCAACAATATGGCAAACATGCATCCTCCGCATGTATTGCAGTTCAGATTCAACTGGCGTTTGACAAAGCAACCACTCAAGCAAGAGGACGAACAAGAGAATAATCTACTGCCTCTGTCAAGAGTGGAACAATTACGCTCAACCAAAATAATCTGAGATTAATTGCAAATTCAGCTTTTTGTAAAAAATCATTCTTCCATCACCACCACCACAAATTCTTACATAGGGATGATAAGTATACAAGTAATCAAGGAGAACTTGTCCTTGGGTGATCATTGGTGTTGAGAAGATCATGAATCTGTCACTGAACTGCCCCAGAAAACTTATTGCTGCTGCACAGTAAGCAAGAAAATCAAAGAGATAATATAACAACTACAACAGCTCAGATAACAAAAGATAGATAGATCGTCGAACTTTCTTCAACCAAGCATCTTATTCCTCTTTGATGGTAAATCGAGAAACATTTGAGACATCTAAATTCACAAGAAGTCATGCCAATCCGAGTCCTACACCAAACTACAAACCATTTGATTTTCTTGTTCTGCCACCATACCAAGTGTTGGTGTCTGTTCCAGAGTTTGATGTCCTTTAGTAACCTATGGTATAATTTGTGTCAAGAGTCTTTGCATGTGTAGATATATTATGAGAATATGGATATCAGATTCAAAAAAGTAAAAGAAAAAACCTTATTTTTGGCCGCCTTCTCATCTGTCAGTGGAGTTCCCACCCTGTTTCCAACTCCTACCTGTGGCAAGAAGTTTTTATTGTGAGGCAGACCTGACGAACTCTGATTTCTTTCACTACTCAGAGTAGTAGCATCTGTGGCAAGAAGTTTTTCCCTTGCATTGGTTAAAAAGTTCACCAAAAGGTCACATCTTTACTCATTTTCAGCAACAAGACGTTGCACTTCCAACAATAATGGACTGAGACAGTCATAACAACGTCTTTCTTCATTGTCACTGAAATCATCATAAACAGCTTTTACACGCTGGTAACCACGATTCATGTCTTTGCGCCATCAGTCCAAAACATAACATGTTGAAACCTTGGTAAAATTGTTCATGGTTAGCACAGAGATTACATGCCTACAAAGGATACCCCGAGACTCAAAAAGATGACAAAAAACAATTAATCTGACATGCATTTTCAGTATCATAATGTACATCAAACATAACTTCTTTCCAATGTACTCCTTCATTATCTAACATGTTTTCTACAACACCATAAATTCAAACTGACCCCTCTTTTTTCACAAAGCAGGCAGTGCAAAACATCAACCCTCTTAATTCCTCCTGAACCAACTTGAAGATGGAGGTAGTGTAAATATTTTGAAATTGCTTTTCAATGGGATGTCCAGATATTGTTGGCGTGGTGGAGTTGGATGAAGCAACATCTGAATTTTTCTCTCTGTCTATCTTATTCTTCAAAGCATTATCTTAGTGTTCAACAAACTGCTTCAATGTTGTTTTTGACTTGCCAGCCCAAAAAGTGTGCCAATCTTGATACAATGATTTTAACCAATCATTCTTCTCCAATTCAAAATCTTTAAGCAGCTTCTCCCAATTCTCTTCAAACTCATCCCCTTTAATAGAATCATAAACAATATTTTCCAAACTCCCCTTTATTGCTTTATAATAAGTAAGACGTCCTAATATTTGTGGGAGTTTTCTCGTTATTTGCCTCAGGCACAAACAATAATGGGAATCTGGAAATTCCTCAGCAACAGCAGCTTGAATGGAGCTGTCTTCATCAATGATTATAGCCTTCGGAGCACGTCTTAGCATGCTTGTTAACCAAGATCTGAATAACCACACAAAAGTTCCGTATCCTCCCCAGATACCAATCCGCAACCTAGCAATACAGTTTGGCCATGGTGGTACATTCCAATGAATGAAACCAAAGGCAAATCACAGCTCTGAGTCAAACAAGTAGTATCAAAAGAAATGACATAACAAAAGGACTCATACGTTGCTCTACACCTTGCATCTGCCCAAAATATATTTTTTATGCGACATTCTTCATCCAAATTAACCGCATAAAAGAAATTAGGATCTCTGACTTGCATATGATGGAAAAAAATTACTCAAGGCCCAAGCATCTCCAGGTCTGAGTCTCAAACTTTGAGCTTCTGAAATGTTTTGGTCATGTAAGTGTGAAACTTTATTTCTGTTCTGACATTAGAATAGTCCGAGAACTTGTCACGTCTAATATGGTGTGATTTTTCTGGAGTGAAGTCATGACTGTGGTCAAGGGAGTGACGACGCAAGTACCATCATCCATAGTGGCAACATTGATTTTAGCTTTACAGAACAGTCGGTCTTTGTGGAGACTGAGAGCCTTCCATGGTAAGAAGGTTTAGTAGTTGATTTGGTCTTACCATTCTTGGAACATCCGAGTGAAAAATACTTCTGCTTGCCATCATCATCTCCATTCTTGCAAGAAACTTTGGAAATCCCAAATCCAAGACGTTGAGCATAAGATCTATAGAATTGGCGAACTTGTTGTTCAGAAGAGAATTCCATCCCAGCTTCAGGGGTTGGAACTTCATCCTTATTTGATGAGGAGTTATCCAAATGTGGTGGGTCATCTTCAGGAGAAACTTTCTCTACCTCGTAGGTCCGTTGCTTATCTTCTTGCATCATGGTAATTTTGTCAGTGTCACTGGAATAGAAACTATCTACCTTTTCCCAAATTTTATTTTTAAGGAGACTCTAAACAAAAAGGAGAGCTTTGAATCCTGCCAAGCATTTTATTTATTCAATTTCCAATTGAATTGAGTTTTCCTGGAAGGTAATTCCACATCTAAATTACGCAAATGGGCAGTTCAGGCCAACCTGAATTAGGCTCCAAAGAAAAAAAAGTAGATAAACCATCATCAGAGATGAGGCCGGTAGCAGGTTTTTTTGGGTAGTTTTCAGTATATTACCACTGTAAACGAGGATGAACTTAAGTCTTGAGTTTGACAATTTGCAACCGCAACCAACCAAAAGCAGGCAGAAAGAGCACAACAGACAGTTGTAAAAAAATCTCGTCACTTTATCCAAACATGTGTCTGGGGAGTCTATCCTAAAACTCTTCTTCCCTTTAATTGGAATCTCCCTGCAAGCAATTTAATCCAGACTAGCAATAAGAGATTATGACACCATTTCAGCTTGAGGGAATCATGACAAGTAGTACCATCCACTCTGGTTTCCTCTCTCCACACTTCATCCCTCTTTCCAACACCAGAAAACCAGTACTGTTACCTACCAAGACCGTTCATCGTCTGCAGTGTCCTCCTCCTCCTTTCGTGTGCAACATTTCTAGCAGGTATAAGAGTCTTTATTCCACTGTTGATTTATGTATGTGCTTCCTATTGCTCTGTCCATCAGTCGTCTTTATGCTCTAAAATTATCACTATTTCTCATTGTGGATCAGGGGAGGAGAAACTCAGTCCTGGTAGGGAGAAATGGGTTCAATGAACTTTACATGTTCAGTCCAGGTTCAAGTCATGAATGGTATGGCAAATACTCTTATATATGTGTAGGACAAGCGGCCCTGCTTCAACCTATAACCTTGAGCTCCCAAAGTGAATGGAGAGGCAAGCAGCGTTTATGTAATCCAAACCTCTGAGCGAGGCTCTAAAAATCTACTCCAGTGTACACATAAAGGAATGTCATCAAACTCTGAACAGAATTTGTGGATCAGAATAGAGAACATTTATCTTTACTACTGCAAGGAACTTAGGCCATGTCATCGATAAAATAAATCTGAATCAGTAATTGTAACATTAAGCCCAGCAACAGCCCGTACTACACGAAAAGGAAAAAAGAAGCAAGGAGCAGAAAAGTCCCTTTTGCATCCTTTGCATATCATTCAATGGCAATATGTTTCAGTAGCACTATTACATAAAACAGGACCATAGTCTTTGGAGATTGCCAATCAAAGTACCAAAAATTCTTCATCTTGTTTACTGCTCTGCTACAACTAAAGAAGAAACGGCTCAGTAAGTATTTGTTGTTTTATAAGGCATATCAGCCTGATTACTTTCCAGGATATTAACTCAACTAGAACTATATTAGCTCTTATGGCCTGCCACCAAACACAAGTTAGGTGGGGACAAGATTGTAACCTTCTCCTTGATCATCAATTAACATGAAGCATAAAATAGTTGCAAATATAACAAAGAGAATGCCGAGTGTGTTGCGAGTAGGCTTCCAGTAGCCTTTCAGACCATCAACTCTAGGAATTTCCAACTTTGGAGAAGGTTTTGTTGTATCCTCAGCAGGGATATCTTGTGTTGAAGACACTGATTCGGAGCTTCCTCGTAACGCTTCGGACCCTGTAGGTGACTTCCCATTCCCATTAATCTCAAGGCCCCTCATTTGATGAACGCCATTCTGTTTATATTTTGAAGTAGGAGTCATTTCATATTGGCTTGAAGGACTTCTGAATCTCCTATTTGGTTTGTCAGAGTCTGAACTTTCCTCATTGTGATCCTGAAGGGAGTGAATTAGCTTTCTTGGTGTTGCAAAGATCTTTACACTGTCAACATTGATGAGAGAGCGAGAACGCTGATAGATATTGCACACGAGAAACATATGGGTCAGCAAAAGCAAAAGCATTTTCAAACAGACTACAAAGCATGAACATGTTCACAAATTAAAGCTTTGGAGTATTCTATGCAGCAAATTCTCTTGTCTCTAAAGGTGAGGTTCACTATTCAATTTAAACAAATGCAAATGTGCACTAGGATCTTAGACTTCTTTAAAATGCATCATCAAATCATACTCCATGGAGATGTTTTCTTCTTATGGCATTTTCTTGCTATTGAATTCAAAATCCAGCATGAAATTGTTGTTCCAGACGTGTGAATATTCAAATACCTAGTAGGCCTACCTGAGGACTGGGAGTGGCACTTCTGGCAACTCTATTTCTGGAACTAGTTTGGCAAAATCCAACAAATCCATCCGTATAATCTCCAGAGAAATCAGAAAAACCATCATGCTCAGAGCTCCCCATGGCACTTCCGCGTGTTACCTCTGAAAAGATACCATCCTTGAGAGAGACGTCTAAAACACCATTCTCACACCTTGACCACAGTTTCCGATTCACACTCCTTCGATCATAAGCGAAGTCTGGAGAGGTCTGATTCGTTGAAATTGGGGAGTCAAAGAAGGAATCGTGCCCACAAAATGAATTGATAGTCTGTGATTCAGGTGAAGCTGTCAGAGGTGATTGATCCCCAGAATCCGACAAATTTCTTCTTCTTAAATCTCCTCTCCTGTCAAAATTTGAGCCAGTGACTGAAACCATATCTTTCTCAAATTTTGAGCTTTTCTCAGTACATATCTTTCGAGCAGTTTGCAATGCTTCAAAAGCAGCCCCACTTACGTAAGCCATCTGATCAGACTGACAGTTCTCCATCACCTTAATTATTAATTCCAACTCAGAAGAGATGCTTTTGTGATCCAAACACTTCATCAAAGAGTTCACCATATGAATGGCGGACAATCTTTTTTGAGAATTGGCATCTTCATTCAGAATCTGCAGTCCAGTGCGGATCAACAACCTTGCATACGCCTCGACAGTCAAACTGTTGTGCTTAGCCAAAGACATCACAAGTGCCATGTGCGAATTAGTTTGCAAGTGCTTGTCCAAAGCTCCAGCAACTCTCTGACATACCTCATTCACCATCCCGTTTGAAGCAAACCTCCAGTTATCGCACTCTACTAGAGCCTTCAGACAAAGAGCAGCTCCAGAAGATAGGCTCTCATGACTGCCCAAAAGACAATCGGAGAGAGGCTTACAGAGAGAGTGAATGATGTGTCTCTTCTTGTCCTCGGGAGTAGTTGGGTCCATTCCATACCTGGCAATTGCCGGAACCACCTTAGAGCAAGCTTGGTGAAGAGCAAAAGATCCTGCACTTGACATCAAAGTCTTGATAATAGTGGTCATGATGTTGTCAATTTGAGGGACAATTTTATGTCCATGAACACGAGCAAGAACCTCATATAGTGAGATCGTATACTCTCCAGAAGAACCAGTTTCTTTGGTCTCGGAAACCTGTGCGAGAAAGAGAGGGATAGCTTTGGAATCCAAATCTTTGACATAGGATTTCAAGGCTTTCATAGCAGATTTTCGACTGTCAGCATCCTTGTCAAGATTTTCCAACTCCCTTCTGACCATGGGACTAAGACTTCTTATTCCCATGGGGAGACCACCTATATGTCCCTGAGGAACGATCTCGGTCAGTGAAGAGGTTAAGTGGAATTTATCGCGTCAATTTTTTCTTTAAACTCAAAAAAAAAAGAAAAAAAAGAAATGGTCGTTGTACAATGATATCAAACTTGTGAAATGAGAATGACAGAAGTTGGCACACGATATGTAACACAAGCATAGATCTTGAAAAGGTGAAAAAAAGTTAGCTTTGTGGCAGTGAAATCAAAGGAAAAAAAAATCTTTTTCATGGGCATGTCAGATTTCAAACTTGTAGAATCAAGAAGCTAGCAGCACACACAAATGTCAACCACACAAGATGTTGATATAAAGGATGCTTCTAGTTTCTTTACTAGGTCACCAAAAAAAAAAAAAAAAAACTCATGCCTTTGGGCGTAAAAACTGCAGAGAAAATGAAAAGCTACAGCCTTTTAATTTAAAAAGTTTTTTTATTTACAGGATCGTGAAAAGGGTTGTTGATAATATGGATAAATATGACGTTGTGAATTCCAATCAAGAAAAGAGGCAGTGTGGCGACTAAAATTGGGTGTTGGACTCGACAAGAACCCTCTCCCTAGCCTGCGGTGGGATAAACATTTGAGGCGTACTTGTAAGAGAATAAAAAGGAAAGAACTGAATTGGCATAAACAAAGCCTCCCTCCCAAGGGCCAAGATAGATAGATAGACAGACAGAGAGATGAAGATCATGGAATAGTAGTAGTTAAATGAAGAAGGGGGTACCTTTCCTGTTAATCAAGACGAGAGTCCCTCCCTAGCGTCGAGTATTATGCTGCTTCTTGCTTGTGGGTTGCAGCGCCAAGATCTGGGCTTTACGGAATCTTTTTCTTGCCGTGATGTTGCAGCAGTAGGTTGTTTAGACTTTTACATTGCCAAATGGCAATGCATCCCCGCCGCCGCCGCCGCCGCAACCCTCAAAGCAAAAGTAAAATGTGGTTGCCGAATCAAGCAAGGGGACGAAGCAGAGAAGATGTATTTACTTATGTGTGGGAATTGAAGTGAAGGGGGGCCGGAGAGCTGTGCAAGTAAGTGAGTGTTGTTTCCTGGGCGGGCGCTACTGAGACAGTATGCGAAGGGGCTTTCCGATGGTTGTCTGATTCTGATATGATATCATAAAATCCTCTCCCTCTCTCTCTCTCTCTGCCTTTTTTGGACAAAAATTACAAACACATATCAGAATGAATACTAGTAATAGTCAGTCAGTCAGTCAGCTGGAGCTCAGATCCATTCGGGCGGTGTCGGAGTCTAATTCATCTTCTTTTGAATCTTTTTCTTGAATTCCCCCGCTATCCTTCCCCCCGCCCGCCCCCTCCTTTTCAATTCCTTCCTGCTTACCACTCGCCCTTCTTTTCACATTTCATTTTCCGGTTCCAACCTTTTTTTTTCTTTTTTTTCTTTTTTTGGTTTTGGTTTAAAACCCACAGTTCCACGCAACTACTCACAGTCACTAGTCAGCAGTAGTACGTATTGCTGCTGCTGTTTTACCAAATATGTTACGATTGTTTGCTTAATTATTTTATTAGCTTTTCCTCTTAATCTTGTAAGTTTTTTTTTTTTTTTAAAGGAAACATATCGGTTTGGTTTAGGATGCAAAGAAAAAGGGGGGAAAAAAGGGAAAGGAGGTGGCAGATGATACTGCCAGACGGCCCCTGGGGGGGGTGGTGCAGCTCACTTGGTTGTGTTGATTGTCTGTACAGTATAGATCACGGTTCGATTCTCCCCGAATTAACGCACTGGAGTAGAAAATAGATAAGAGGGAATGATATAAAATGATTGATTGGCAGAATGTAGGAGGAGCAATATGGTAATTTGGGAGAGTGTCATTTGAGACCCCAAAATTTAGAAGCTTAATTGCAAAAACTTAATTAAGTAAGGGCAAAGCTGTATCATGAAGAGAAATTTGTTATGATGAATCCTAATTTTTGCTCTCTGGCAATGTCGCCAGCCAAAAGAGGCTTACATGTTACTACTATTTGATTCCCTGTGGAGGGGGGGGGGGTGCAGCTCACTTGGTTGTGTTGATTGTCTTTACAGTATCGATCACGGTTCGATTCTCCCCGAATTAACGCACTGGAGTAGAAAATAGA